GTGTTACCAAAGAGAAAACAACCCCCAAATTCTCCACTTTAATGAATAAAAGCTAATGAAGTAGCCTGCAAAGAAACAGAAAACATATATATATTTACATATAGTAGCCAGGCACAGTGACTCATGCCTGTAATACTAGCACTTTGGGAGGCCAAGTCAGGTGGATCATGTGGTTGGGAGTTCGAGACCAGCCTAACCAACAAAGTGAAATCCTGTCTCTACTAAAAATACAAAAATTAGCCAGGTAGGTGGCACGTGCCTATAAGCCCAGCTACTCAGGAGGCTGAGGCAGGAGAATCACTTGAACCCGGGAGGTGGAGATTGCAGTGAGCCAAGATCGTGCCACCGCACAGTCTGGGTGACAGAGCAAGACTCTGTCTCAAAAAAAAAAAACTACACACACACACACATATATATATATATATATATATATATATACACACACACATAGAGAGAGAGAGAGAGAACCAATTATTTGAAAACATGGTCAAGTTAGAAAATTTTAAATTATAGTTTAAAACTTATTAATTGTTCTTTTATAAATGTTAACTTTGCAAAGCAAAAAGCAAATAAAATAAACATTAACTACTCACAACTCTATTTATTTCAAAATATATAATAAAAGAGCATGGCGTTTGCATTACTGTTTATCACCTATGTGTATATCAGATTTGCAAGTGATTCTGCAGTCTTGCACAGTGGGAGTTTCTAGGCCTGTGAGATATCTGATTCCTGTGCTCTGCAATAGATCTAGCTCCTGCACCCAGCAGAGCTCAGGGTCATTCTTAGGTCATAGTGGCTAAAGATGGCTGTCAATTCACTGCTTAGGCTAGGTTTCAAGCCTCCTTTATCTCTATTACATTGATGATTCCTGTGGTAGCTTAATAAATTAATCATGTTATCAATATGCATCTTAATGTTTGTTGTATAGCACCAAAGTAACTGTATTAAAAGCTCAGTGTGCTGTATGCGAAAGTCAGCTACCTTTAAAAACTAAGAACTGAAACAAATATATTTGAAAAAATAGTTTTGGTTCTATGCTGTGCTACAAATTTTTTAAAGGGGGGTTAAAATAAAAGGTTGAAACTAGCTGATTCTGCCTCTTCCCAGTGCAAAGATAATTATTATTCAGTCAAAAAATATGCGGTGAAAAAAAGTAATTGCATAAGAAGACATTATAATCCTGAGAGTATCCACCTGGTGTTTTTATTTTGATGAACATCCTTTTGGATCCCCATGCCTATGCAACTTAATGTTCGTCACAATTCTCCATGGCAAAGGTAAAAGACAAGCCTTAATTGTAAATTTGTGCATGCTTTATTGCCAATGCAATGGCATGAACACATTTAACAGGATTGTCATTCCATTTAATTACTCTGATTTTGACAGGAACCTATTACAGATAAAATTGATAGCATGAGTAATAAGGACCATTAAAAAAATCACTGCTTTCTAGCCAGGCACAGTGGCTTAATCCTGTAATCCCAGCACTTTGGGAGGCCAAGGTGGGCAGATCACCTGAGATCAGGAGTTCGAGACAAGCCTGGCCAACATGGTGAAATCCCATCTTTACAACAACTACAAAAATTAGCTGGGCATGGTGAAACTTGCCTGTAATCACAGCTACTTGAGAGGCTGAGGCAGGAGAATCACTTGAATTCAGGAGGCAGAGGCTGCAGTGAGCCTCTATACTCACATGCCACTATACTCCAGCCTGGGTGACAAAGTGAGACTCTGTCTCAAAAAAAAAGAAAAATAAATCACTGCTTTTTCTTCAAAGGGTGAGTATTCAGATCTTCTTCTATATTCTCTATGGCTACATGCATTAGGTGAAGAAAAAAATAAAGCATAGTAATAGGATAGCCATCCTCAAATTGCTTCCTTCCAAGTTGAGTTATGTTTATGATATGACAGCAATGCATGGTCATTGTTTTTAATAACTGGGTTAGATCTGTGACATCTAAAGAAAAGCAACAAATGAATAAGTAGGTAAGTGGACAAAAATAGAGAAAAGCACTTGCCCAAATCACCCTGTGTTAATTTCATATGCTATTTCTCAGTTTTTTTCTTAGTGATATTTAAAGGTGTTCATTGTACTTTTGCCTAAGACAGGTAATAAAAGCTCAGGAGCTGAACACTAAGCTTAAGATATGTGCAGATGAACAGGAGGGATAAGAGGACTATAGTAAATAGTCGATTATTGCCAGAAATTTGAAACTGGCAGTAAGAGGAAGCCAGCGGCTGTATTCAACTGACAAAGTAGTGGTACTTGCATCCTGGCATGTGTGGCCAAATGGCAAGATGCCAAATATTGGCTGGAATAGCACAAACTACTGATTTCTTTTCCACAAATTGAGGGAAGGAAGAGTTTTAGCAACATAGCAACAGTGTTTTATGTAGTCACATTAAACTATCTGTTACTTGAGTTCATTTTCCATATTCTAGTTTATAACTCACTTTTCTTTTTCTTTTTCTTTCTTTCTTTCTTTCTTTTTTTTTTTTTTTTTTTGAGATGAAGTCTTGCTCTGTTGCCCAGGATGGAATGCAGTGGCACAATCTCAGCTCACCGCAACTTCTGCCTCCTGGTTTCAAGTGATTCTCCTGCCTCAGCCTCCCCAGTAGCTGGGACTAAAGGCACGTGCCACCATGCCCAGGTAATTTATTGTTTTTTCAGTAGAGATGGGATTTCATCATGTTAGCTAGGGTAGTCTCCATCTCCTGAACCTCATGATCCGTCTGCCTTGGCCTCCCAAAATACTGGGATTACTGGCGTGAGCCACTGTGCCTGGCCTCCCTTTTGGTCTTTTAAACTTGAAACTGTCATTGAAAATAAACTCATATTTATTTGACTATTGATCAAACGGATATCATCAATAAAAATATTTTTCCAGGTGATTCTATCCCAAGCTGCTTTTGTCTTTCAATTAAGAAAAGGTTTTCGCTGGGCGCAGTGACTCACACCTGTAATCCCAGCACTTTGGGAGGCCGAGGCAGGCAGATCATAAGGTCAGGAGATAGAGACCAACCTGACTAACACGATGAAACCCCATCTCTACTAAAAATACAAAAAAAATTCCCCAGGCGTGATGGCACGCACCTGTAGTTCCAGCTACTTGGGACGCTGAGGCAGGAGAATCACTTGAAGGGAGGCAGGAGAATCACTTGAAGGGAGGCAGAGGTTGCAGTGAGCTGAGATCATGCCACTGTACTCCAGCCTGGGCAACAGAACGAGACTCAGTCTCAAGAAAAAAAAAAGAAATGGTTGTATGTTATGCCAATAGGATGAGATATTTAGAGGATTAAATCAATAGACTACAAATTATATGTTTAAAAAAATTAGGTCACACAACCTAACAATAAATCTGTTGTGTCAAACTACTCTGACACAACAGATTTATTATTAAAGTGGGTAATTCCATAGCAATTCACATTAGTTTTTATAAAGTAGAGACAGGGAGAGATCAATGATAACTTTGGCTTACTGCTGCTTTTAATGGTTCATTTATAATAGCTACTTATCTCCTATTATTTTAGCTTACTATAATAATGTTAAAACAAGAAAAAAGATAATCACCATTATGGGAATATATATTTAATTCAAGTCTGACTGATTGTTCTTTAATCTGATTCATGTATTTGTAGAGTGGCCAGAAGTACTCTAAAATGCATAGTGATTCTTAGGTACACATAAAAACCCCATTATATAGTCTATATCAGGTTTAGAGTAAAAAACATCTGGCAGTTTTGGCTTTATTTTCATAGGCATATTATTATTAGACAAACAACCACATTGCAGGGTACACCCAAAACCCACCAGCTCAAACCCAACTGCTACTACCAACATCAAGAATAACAGCCAAATCTTAAATGGACCTTTTAGCCTCACTGTGTTTCCTGGAGACAATTATCTTTGCAAATGAAAACCAGATTTTTGTTCTACACATGCACATGATCCACATTCCATTCCTGGATTCTCTACAATTGTCTTGCCATACTTGATGATTACTCTGATTGCAATGGAGATTTAATACAGGCTTCCAAAGGTCATCTCAAATGAAGGAGGAATAAGCTCACTGATTTTGTTTAAGAAGGTTGAACATGGGCAGTCCTCACCAACCAATCCCCCATATATTTTCTTCTAAGGACACTGCTATGAAATAAATATTAAATGAGAGTATTGGGGTTATAGAATTAGGGAGGAAAGTTTCCCCAGTACCATCATTATGGTGAATGGTAAATAAGGACCAGGTCTTCTTGGCAATATAAGGTGGCTCTACCATTGTTCATCCCTATTGGTTGCCTTGTTAAATCTCTGCCCAGAAACATAAGGAACCTGACTGATCACTCCTGATTCTCTTCATCTCTGAATGACACTATTGGTGGTGTACATGCAATTTCACTCCAGAATCAGTGGTTACAGTATACCCTCTAAAAAGCTAAAGTTAATAAGACAAGCAATACCAAGTATTGGCAAGGATGTGGAATAACTGGAACTCTCATACACTGATGGTGAGAGTATTAAATTGGTACAACTGGCTGGGTGTGGTGGCGCACACCTGTAATCCCAGCACTTTGGGAGGCCAAGGTGGGTGGATCACCAGAGGTCAGGTGTTTAAGACCAACCTGACGAATATGATGAAACCGTGTCTCTATTTAAAAAAAAAAATGCAAAAATTAGCCAGGTATGGTGGTAGTCCCAGCCACTCGGGAGGCTGAGACAGGAGAATTGCTTGAACCTGGGAGGCAGAGATTCCAGTAAGCCAAGATCCTGCCACTGCACTCCAGCCTGGGTGACAGAGCAAGACTCCATCTCAAATAAAAAAATGAATAAATTGGTACAACCGCTTTAGAAAACTGTTTGGTAGCCTCTATGAAAACTAAACAGATACCTAGCCTATGATCTAACAATTAATTCCACTCTTAGGAATATAGCCAAGAGATATATATGGATACATATTCTCACCAAAAGACATTAACAAGTGTGTTCATAAAAGACTTACTCAAGGTCAGTGTGGTAGCATGTGCTGCTGCAGTCCCAGCTACTTAGGAGCTGAGGTGGAATGATTACTTGAGCCCAGGAGATCAAGGCCAATCTGGGCAACATAGTGAAACTTCATTTCTAAAGAGAAAAAGAAAAGATTTGCTAAAAATAGCCAAAAATTAGAAATAACCAAAATGTCATCACAGTAGAAGAGACAAATGAAACATGCTATGTTCATACAATAGAATACTACAGAGTGATTTTTTAAAGGATAAACTATTATTACTAGCTATAACATGAATAAATCTTACAGATACTACATTAAGAAAAAAGACACACAGTATCTATAGTATGAATCCACTTATATGAAATACAAAAATAGGAAAACTAATCCAGCAGTAAAAGTCAGAATAGTGGGGGTGAGGAGTGAGGGGTGGGAACTGACTGGAAAAGGGCATAAAAGAATCCTCTGGGGTGCTAGAAAAGTTCTATATCTTGATCTAGGTGATCAAGATACACATCAGATATACATCACATCAGGTATGATCAAGATACACATCAAATACAGGTATGTGATGAATCTTAAAAGCATTATAGAAAAAAGACGCAAAAGCCTACATGTAGTATGATTTCATTTTGGAAAGGGCAAAATTGTAGGGATAGACAATAGCTAAGTGGTTGCCAGAATATTTGCGTAAAAGAAGGGAACTAACTACAAAGGATTACAAGCAAACTTTTGGGGATGATAGAATGATCCATATCTTGACTGTGGGTGTGGTTATCTGACTCTACAGTTATCTTAAATTTAAAAGGATGAATCTTATCATAGCTCAATTATAATTCATTTCATACTTTGAAAATATTCAACACTCTATACATTTAAGATTAGTATACTTTATGTACTTCCTATACCATGTGTATATTATACCTAATTTTTAAAAGTTTGAAAGGTAAAGAAACAAAGAGGTTAAGTGGGTTGTAAGACATGCATTCCAGTCCAGACTTTGCTACCGATTTCTTATGTGAAATGCTTTAATTGTTGCTACTGAATAAAAATACAGAAAGTGCTAGGCCTGGAATGGGTACTTAAATTCACATAATCTCACCGTGATCTAGAGAGGAGAAATTATCTATGAAATTTCACACAGCTAGTCAGTTGTGGAGGCACAAAGGAAAACCCAGGACATCTGACTCTCAGATTCTAATTCAATTCCAGTTCAAGGGAGATTTTTAAACAGTCAAACTCATCATCTGACACTACAGAAGTAGCAAATTTTCAACCAGTTGTGTAGTACTGGGCCTCTGTTTCCACATACAGTCATGTGCCACATAAGATGTTTTGGTCAACAATAGACCACACATACAATGGTGGTCCTACAAGATTATAATGGAGCTGAAAAATTACCGTCACCTAGTGATGTCATAGCTGTCAAAATATAATGAAATTAATTTTTTAAAAATAAATTTAGTGGGCCAGGCACAGTGGCTCAGGCCTGTAATCACAGAACTCTGGGAGGCCAAGGAGGGCAGACTGCCTGAGTTCAGGAGTTCAAGACCACCCTGGGCAACATGGTGAAACCCCATGTCTACTAAAATACAAAAAATTAGCCATGAATGGTGGCACATGCCTGTAGTCCCAGCTACTCAGGAAGCTGAGGCATGAGAATCGCTTGAGCCTGGGAGGTGGCGGCTGCAGTGAGCCAAGGTCAGGCCACTACACTCCAGGGTGGGCTACAGAGTTAGACTGTACCTCAGAAACATGGCAAAGCCTGGTCTCTACCAAAAATACAAAAATTAGCCTGGTGTGGTGGCACATACCTGTAATCCCAGCTACTCAGGAGGCTGAGGCAGGAGAATCATTTGAATCCACAAGATGGAGGTTGCAGTGGGCTGAGATCATGTCATTGCACCACAGCTTGGTCAACAAGAGTGAAACTCTGTTTCAAGAAATAAAGAAAGAAAGAATTTTAAAACAAATAAATAAATTTAGTGTAAACTAAGTATACAATGACTTTTTTTCTTTTTTGAGACAGAGTTTTGCTCTGTTACCCAGGCTGGAGTGCAGTGGCACAATCTTGGCTCACTACAACCTCTGTCTCCCCGGTTCAAGTGATTCTCCTGCCTCAGCCACCCAAGTAGCTGGGATTATAGTTGCCTGCTACCATGACTGGCTAATTTTTGTATTTTTAGTAGAAATAGTTTTCATCAGGTTGGTCAGTCTGGTCTCAAGCTCCTGACCTCAAGTGATCTACCCGCCTTGGCCTCCCAAAGTACTGGGATTTCAGGCGTGAGCCACTGCACCCAACCAATGTATAGTGTTTATTAAGTTTACAACAATGGATAGTAATGTCCTGGGCCTTCTCATTCACCCACCACTCACTTCCTGACTCATCTAGAGCAACTTCCAGTCCTATAAGCCCCATTCATAGTAAGTGTCCTATACAGGCATAAAATTTTATCTTTTATACTGGCTTTTTATTGTATCTTTTCAACATTTAGATACACAAATATTTACGGCTATATTACAACGGCCTACAATATTCAGTATAATAATATTTTGTACACGTTTGTAGCCTAGGAACAGCTATACCAAATAGCCTACGTGTGTAGTAAGTTATATACCATCTAGATTAGTGTAAATTACACTCCATGATGTTTGCACAAAGATGAAATAATCGAATGATATATTTCTCAGAACATAGTCCTGTCATTAAGCAACATATGACTACATTTGCTTTCCACTTCCAAAGACGCCACTGTACTCCAGCCTGGGTGAGAGAGTAAAATCCTGTCTCTAAGAAAAAAAAAATTATATATATGAGTTATCAGTGATCCTTTGATAATAGCAATTTACCCAAAAATGTAGATTATGACAGCCTCCATTTAGGGAGCTCCAACTCAAAACTAAATCTTGGCATACCGTCCACCCCTTCCTGTCTGAGGCCATCTCCAATAACACTTAGTCATGCAAAGTACCCATACTAATCGACTGCTAGGAGAGATGTTTTAGGGTACAATCTAGATTTATATGACTCCTTAATTAACTCCTCTGAAAATTTAGTTCCTCTGAAACAAAATCAACTTTTTTAAGTGCACACATTCACAAACACTCTAGACCTTAACAAATTCTATAAGATGGTGTTTATTGTGCTATACAGGTCCCAACAATATTCTCATAAAATTGTGAACAAGAGCAGTTAGGCCATACTTCCATCTCTTGAAAATTGAAACATTAAGGAAGTGCTAAATAAGTGGTCCCTAGTTTCTCTTTCTATGCTCTGTAGCTATCTAAATGATCTTTTGACCCCCCTTCCCCTCCCATCCTCACTAAAGCTCAAACACCAACTTCTCTCTGATCTCCACCCACAAAATAGAAAAGACACTAGTATGTTATTTATACTTTTTGATTGACTGGTTACACTTTAGTTCCTTTTTTTTTTGCTTTTTTTTTTTTGAGACAGAGTCTCACTCTGTCATCCAGGCTGGAGTGCAGTAGCTCAATCACTGCTCACTACATCCTTGACTTCCCAGGTCAAGCAGTTCTCTTGCCTTAGCCTCCCAAGTAGCTAGGCCTATAGGTGCACACCTCCACTCTGCTAATTTTTTTTTTTTTTTTTTTTTTTTAGTAGAAATGAGGTGTCATTCTGTTGCCCAGGCTGGGCTTGAACTCCTGGGCTCAAATAATCTTCCCTCAATCTCCCAAAGTGCTGGGATTACAGGCTTGAGTCACCACACCTGGCCCACCTTAGTTCCAGTACGTTTTAGCAGTATGTTAATTCATGTAATATTGACATTTTAAGCCATTTACCCCTTATTGTATAATGAAAAGCCAACTGCTTCTCCATTAAAGAATTCTGACTTTCAATTTAACTTCAGTAAGCAAGTGAGAAAATATTTTAGAAACAAGGAAGAACTTGCAACCACACTTTGTATTCCTAGCCTTGCAGAGTCATGAGCCACATTAGAATAGTTGAGAGGCTACAGAAAGAACCCAAAGGATCATTTGCTCATTTACTCACTCATTCATGCATTCAGTAAACATTTACCAAGTGTCTACCATGTGCCAGGTATTGTACAAGTCAGAGAGAATCAATGATTAATAAGATATGATCTCTATCCTGAAGTAGTTTCAAAGAGGAGTCACAAACAGATGAAAAACATTTAAAGCCCAAAAGTGAGAAGTGCTCTGACAAGTAGAAAACACTGAAAAAGAACAGGAGAGATGGGATTCACTCCCCCTGGGGAGAGTCAGAGCAGGTTTCATAAGGACAGACCTGTGAGCTCAGCTTGAAGGAATGTGACATGTTGAAAGGCAAAGAAAGGGTTGAAATGGGCTTCCCAAACTTTCAGCCAAATATGAAAGGAGACGAGAGGAGGGGAATGAGTTACCTTTCTTTGTACAGAGGGAATTTAAGGCCAGAGAAGCAAATGCCAAGCCCAGTGCCTACTGTGGCCACAAAGAAAAAGGGCCGTGGCAGCAGCAGGGCCCTTTCTTCTTATCTGCAGTCACATGGAGAAGATAGTTGATGACAAACTTTGCCAAGATGCCTTTAGCCACTTTAGGGGAGGACAGATGCAAGCATTTTCATATAACTCCATGCTCAGCCTACACGCTTTAAAAAGTTATGTTGATATCAGGATATATCATTGGAACATTAATTTTATCCACATCCTTTAAAATAGTTACAAGTTTTGCCATTTTTGGACTAAAAATTTCAAAGCCTTTGTTGGTATTGAATTTAGGATAACAAAGTTTTGTAATCAAACAACGTCCTTGACTCAACAAAGCTTCCTTCTAGCCAGGCAAGTATTAGAGGGGGTCTTGCCTAGCTAATATCAGATAAAGGATTATTCCTAGAAGCTTGCTGAAGGCAAAGAAGCTCCTATTCCATCCCCCCCAAATTCTAGCAAAGCCAGGTGTATCTCTACAATACCCAGTGCTGACCTCTTTTGCACAATTTCTTGGCCTAAGCAACTTTCTTAGCTCTTTAACTCCCTTGCCCCAAAATGTGCAGATGAATAGGTTGTCATGAAGCATATTTGATGTTAGTTAGTGTCTAATATTTTTTTATCACATCCGTATTTCTTGGAGTTCTAAATATAGCCCTCAAGGCTAGGCGCAGTGGCTCATGCCTACAATCCCAGCACTTTGGGAGGCTGAGGTGGGTGGATCACCTGAGGTCAGGAGTTCAAGACCAGCCTGGACAACATGGCGAAACCCGGTCTCTAATAAAAATACAAAAACTAACCGGATGTGGTGGTGGGCTCCTGTAATCCCAGCTACTGAGGAGGCTGAGCCAGGAGAATTGCTTGAACCTGGGAGGCAGAGGTTGCAGTGAGCCAAGATCACACCACTGCATTCCAGCCTGGGCAACAAGAGCAAAACTCCGTCACAAAAAACAAAAACAAAATAAAAATAAAAAACAAAAACAAAATAGCCCTCAAACCCCTACATTATTCCAAACTCTGATCATGTAATAATGAACATCTATTCTTTATTCTTTTTAAAAATATATTCATTCTTTCAATAGCATTTAGCCAACAGTGAGGCAATAGGTTAGTTATCCCAATGCCCATTTCCTCTTCTTCCATTTTAGCTGGGTTCATGGCCACCCACCCAGAGACAGTATTTCCTAGTATACTAGGTGCAGCCACACAAAGTTTATCACAATGGAATGTCAGTGAATTTTCCAATTATATTGTAAATTCCTGGTGATCAGAAACCCTGTCTTTACATATATTTTATTTCCAACAGTACCCATCCGGTATTGAGTATGTTAATAAATGTTTGTTGACCTAGCTTTTTATCTTGAATAATATTTCATCTATCTATATGTTTTGGATCAAAAATAAATTTTATGATTCTAGAAACATGAAAAAGAATAGAATGTAAATGGAAGTGATATGTGCAACTTACAAGTCATTTACTTCACAGGAAATTGCTTGCTCTCCATTTTTCCTTTACTACTCTTCCTAAAAACAAATAGGGATGTAGAGGTAACACAGCTTCAACCATGTAGACAAGAAGAAAATGTCAGAGCAGCACAGTGAAAGAAACAGATTCTGAATGACTTCATGGTGCTGAGGCACCCCAACAGTGTGGACACTTACATTCCTCTAAAATGTTACATGCAGGAGAATTAAACTTCAGCCATATGTAAGTGACTTTGTATTTAGGTTTCTTTGTTACAGCAGTTTAGCTGGACCCTAGTTAATATAAACATTTACTCAACATCTTTTTGACCATTTACTATGTGATAAGAACTGTCTTCTGGGTAAACATAAAGTGGTGAATACCAGAAAAGCTCCCAGGACACAGGTTGCTTATAGTCTAGAACAGGGGGGTCCAATCTTTTGGCTTCCCTGTGCCACACTGGAAGAACTGTTTTGGGCCACACACAAAATACACTAACAATAACAACAGTTGATGAGCTAAAAATACATATCAAAAAAAATCTCATAATGTTTTAAGAAAGTCTACAAATTTGTGTTGGGCCACATTCAAAGCCGTCCTGTACTGCATGCAGCCCATAGGCCATGGGTAGGACAAGCTTGGTCTAGAAAGTGATACTAATGGCTGGGTGCAGTTGCTTACACCTTAAATCACAGCACTTTTGGAGGCTGAGGCGTGCAGATCACGAGGTCAGGAGTTCGAGACCAGCCTGATCAACATGGTGAAACCCCATCTCTACTTAAAAAAAACACAAAAATAATGAGCCAGACATGGTAGCAGGCACCTGTAATCCCAGTTACTAAGGAGGCTGAGGCAGGAGAATTGCTTGAACCTAGGAGGCAGAGGTTGCTGCAGTGAGCTGAGATCATGCCATTGCACTCCAGCCTGAGTGCAAGGCATGGAGCAAGACTCTGTCTCCCAAAAAAAAAAAAAAAGAAGAAGAAGAAAGAAAGAAAGTTATACTAATAAAATGTAAAACTAAAT